GGCTCTTCCTTCTCCCCTCCCCCTCTCCTCACCTGGCTCAGGGTCATGTCCACTCTGGACTCTCCCAGACGTCCCTGCCTCTAGCTATGCTCTCCCTTTTATCTACAATAAACTTTCTCCTCCAACATACCTAGGAGCAGCCATGTCCTTTCCTTTTTCTTTTTTTCATTCACTTTTGAGCAGTCAAGCGGGGGCTGGGAATGGAACCATGGTCCTCTGGAAGAGCAGCCAGTACTCTTAACCACTGAGCCATCTCTCCAGCCCCTGTGCATGGCATGCATCTGCCCAGACTGCCATTGCATCTGCCCAGCATGTTTCCCTGCATGCTCGGGATACCTCGGGGTGCAAATTCATAACACCCACCACAACCCCTGGCACCAAGTACTGGGATTCTATAATCTACTTTGTACCACAATGCCTACCTCACAACGTAACTCCTGGGGTACACACCCTTAACCGGTACCTAAACCACAGCACCTCACTGTGTCCATTAGTTTTTGCATCATAACAAACTACCCTAAAACTTAGTGACTTGGAGCAAGTTTGTGTCTCGTGATCGTACAACGCTTTTGGTTTGGACTAACTTAGCTGGGGCTGAGGCTGAACGAGCCAAGAGTCTCATCCACACTTTTTGTGGCAGAGTAGTCTGAGGAAGCCTCGGTTGGAATCATTAATGGCTGCTCCATCTAGTCCCTCCTCTCCCAGCAGGTGTCTTCACAAAGACAGAAGGGTTTGAGAGGTCAGCAGGAGAGAGTACTCCATACCCCGGGGCTAGGGCTTGAACCCAGGCCTCCCCACCATGCTAGGCAAGCATACTACATGCCCAGCTCCACAAGCCCTTTCAAGTCTTTTATGATTTAGCTAATGGAGAACAAGGCACCTGGCTACACTCACTGAAAAGTGAGAACAGACTCCCACTCATATGAGCACCGTCACAATCCTAATGCAAAGAGGCGTGCAGGCAGGGCCTGTGGCATCGGCGGCGGCCATTTCTGCCGTCTACCGTCTACCACGTGGCTTTATGGCAAAGACTAAATCAAAGGCGTGGTTATCACACCCTTTGAAAGTCAAATTTGAAAGGATTAAAGCAGTGAATGTAGATCTGTTCAGCCAGACAAAAGGGTTCCTAGCACGATTAACTGTGTGGTCCCACAAAAGCCTGATAGGCCTTTTGTTAAGCCCTATATCTGATATTAAGTCTAGGGGAAAAGTATGAAAGAACTGTGGGCATGGCTTTTGGCCCATCAAATGGTCTGGAATCAAATTCCGAGAACACGCTCAGTTCTGAGAGTTAGTTTGGCAAAGTGCCCCAACCTGGTCTGAAAGGGGACTAATGATGTAATCTAATCTCCACCTCTCGACTTTGTTCAGACAGGAAGGAAGTTAAAAAGCTTGGTAGCTACACAGAACACACATTCCTTAGTGTTCTCTAAAACTACCAAGCAGAACCAAGCTTGGTGGTTCATCCTGTATTCCCAGCCCTCGGTGACTGAGGCAGTGTGACCGGGGAATCTGAGGGTCCCTCTTTGGGGTTCTTAGTCTTGTTGATAAGGATTTAGAAACACAAGCTAGAGAGGTGGTGCGGTGATTAAGAGCATCTGCTGCTCTTGCAGAGGACTCAGGTTCCCAGCACCCACAGCCAGGCAGCTCAGAAATACCTTCCAACTGTAACTCCAGTTCCAGAGCACTGACGCCCTCTTCTGGGCACTTGCGCACACAGGACATACACTCACACAGCCTGGTCTATAGAGAGAGATCCAGGACAGGCACCAAAACTACACGGGGAAACCCTGTCTCGATATATCCTTCTGGGGTCTTTGATAGAGTTGAAGACCAGATAGTTATAATTATAGTTTTCCTTAGTTATGATAAAAGGTAAATTAGATGTGAAACTTCAGATTCACCAAGATAAGATCGACAATAGAGTATTTTCTCTAATTTTGCCAAATACAAATGGACTGATAACTGGTTTTGTTGTATGAAATTTTACTATGATAAAGTTAAAACATTCATTTTTTTATTTAGACAAAAAGGGGTAAATGCTTCCGTACACTATGAAAACGTGTTGCTCTCAGGGGCTGGAGAGATGGCTCAGGGGTTAAGAGCACTGACTGCTCTTCCAGAGGACCCGAGTTCAATTCCCAGCACCCATATGGCAGCTCACAACTGTCTGTAATTACAGTTCCAGGGGACCCAACAACCATGGCAAAACACCAATGTGCATAAAATAAAAATAAAAAAATTAAAAGAAAATGCATTGCTCTCACTGTTAATAAAAAGCTGATTGGCTGATAGCTGGGCAGGAAGAGACTGAGTGGGAGAGCCAGACTAGGAGAATTCTGGGAAGGACGGCAGAGTCAGAGGAGTTGCCAGCTGACACAGAGAGAAGTGAGATGGGCATGCCATACTGAGAAAAGATACTGAGCCATGTGGCAGAGCACAGGTAAGAAATATGGGTTAATTTAAATGTAAGAGTTAGCTAGTAACAAGCCTGAGCTATCGCATGAGCATTTATATTAAGACTCTGTGTTGGTTGTTTGGGAACTGGTGGTCAGGACAGGAAATCTCCACCTACAAGTTAGGGTTACTATTGCTATGATGAAATGCCATGACTAAAAGCAAGCCAGAGAAGAAAGGGTTTATTTGGCTTGTACTTCCAGAATATTGTTCACTGAAGGAAGTCAGGACAGGAACGCAAAACAGGGCAGGAGCCTGGCTGGAGGCAGAAGCTGATGCAGAGGCTATGAAGGAGGGCAGCTTACTGGCTTGCTTGCCATGGCTTGCTCAGCCTGTTTTCTTACAGAACCCAGGACCACCAGCCCAGGGATGGCAGCACCACAATGGGCTGGGCCCTCCCCCACTGGTCACTAGTGACGAAAATGCCTTACAGCCAGACCTAAAGGAGGCATTTTCTCAATTAAAGCTCTCTCCCTTCAGATTAACTCTAGTTTGTGTGTCACAGCAAGACTAATTAGTCCAACTCAGATTTCCTGCAGGGGTGGACTCCTGGCTATGTGATTGTCTCACTCGGATTAACTATTGATTTTTATTCTTTATATATGTATATGTAAGTGTTTGCCTTCTTGTATGTATGTGCATCCCATGTGTGCCTGGCCCCAGATTCTATTCCTTTAACTGAGGAAGTAGCCTTGCCTCAGTGGACCTCAGCAAAGCCCAGGCACCTCCACCTTTGATCTCCCGGAGCTGGAGTTACAGGCAATTGTGGGATGCGCAACCTGGGTACTGAGAGTCGGACACAGGTCCTCTAGAAGAGCAGCAAGTGCTTCACTGCTGAGCCGTCTCTTCTCCAGCCCTCACCCCCTATTGTGTGTGTGTGTGTGTGTGTGTGTGTGTGTGTGTGTGTGTGTGTGTGTGTGTGTTGAAACAAGGTCTCATGTAACCCAGGCTAGCCTCAAATTCTCTTTGTAACTGGGAATGGCCTTGACCTCCTGATCCTCCTGCCTGAGTGCTGAGATTACAGGGGGACACCATTATGCCAGGTTTATGTGGTGATGGGGGCGGTATCCAGGCTTTGTGCATGCTACCAGTGTTCCTAGCCTCTGGTTTTGTTCTTATATCACATGCCTCCCCTCCCCACCCCCTCCGCCCAACTTAATGTCTTACTGAATTGCCATGACCATAAACTTCAAAATATAGTGAAGTGACATGTTTGGGTTTTTCTTTAGCTTTGGCTTTGTGATACTGGGGGTGGAACCTAGGGGGCTGTGCACGCTGGGCAAGCACATTCACCTGCGGCAGCATCCAAAAAGCCTTCTTTCTACCTGGCTTCCCTGGAGGTCTGTAATAATACATGTTTGTTCTAGTTTTGCAAGTTTAGCTCTTTAATAACTACCAGTGTGTCTCTTCTCTTTTTGGCGGGGGAGTGGGGGGTGGGGTGGGGGGGGTGGCTTTTTGAGACAAGGTTTCTCTGTGTAGCCCTGGCTGGTCTTGAATTCAGAGATCTGCCTCTGCCTCCGGAGTGCTGTGATTAAAGGCGTGTGCCACCACCACCCAGCCTGGATCTCCTCCTATATCTTCAATTTGGTTGTGACTCTTCTCCCAGGTCGTGATTAGCTTTCTAGAACTCACTAATATTATTGTGACTTTTTTTAAAAGTAGTTTATTTATTTTTATTTTATGCATACTGGTGTTTTGCCTGCACGTGTGAGGGTGTTGGATCTCGGAGTTACAGACAGTTGTGAGCTGCCATGTGGGTACTGGGAATTGAACTCAGGACTTCTGGAAGAACAATCAGTGCTCTTAACCACTGAGCCAGCTCTCCAGACCTATCGTGACTTTTGAAAGCATTGATTCTTGAGTTAATAACTACTGTTTGTTAGTATCCTGATATTTTTGAGATAACACGTGTTGTATGTGTATGCGTGTTTTTGCTTACTTTGTGTGTATGTGTGCCACCTGTGTGCAGTACCCCAGGAGTTCAGAAGAGGGTGTCAGATCCCCTGGAAGTGGAGTTACAGATGTTTGCACATGGCGTGTGGGTGCTGGGAACCAAACTTGGACCCTCTGCAAGAGAAGCAAGTTCTCTGAGCCATTGAGTCATCTCTCCAGACCCAAGGATGGAGAGACTTTGTGCATCCCTGCGAGCCTCATGAGTGCTAGGAGAGTGCTCTATTATTGAGCAACTTTTATTTCTTATAGAATTAATTCATGTCCTCAGGTCAACTGACTCAAAGTGATTACATTAAGTATCAGAATTCTCAGTTATTGATGTTTTCTAAATATAGAAATGTTTTAAGTCTACAAATGTACTTTTTTCTGTTATGCTGGCTGTAGTGGCTCGTGCCTTTAATCCCAGCACTCAGGAGGATCTCTTTAAGTTTGAGGCTAGCCTGATCTACAGAGTGAGTTCCAGGACAGCCAGAGCTGTTACACAGAAAAACCCTGTCTTGAAAAACCAAAGAAGGAAAACAAACAAACAAACAACACCATCACCAACACAACAAAAAATGTATAATTTTTTTTTATAATTTCTATTTTTGAAAAACACAGAATGCTTCATGAATTTGCATGTCATCCTTGCATAGGGGCCATGCTAATCTTCTCGGTATCATTCCGATATTAGTATATGCACTGCCGAAGTGAGCACTATAATTTTTTTTTATAAATTGTGTGTATGTGCATGAGAGGGGTACACACACATATACATGCCATCACTAATGTATGAAAGTCAGAGGACAACTTTGTGTAGTTAGTTCTCTCCTAAATAAAAACAAAAGGGGCCGTGCAGTGGTGGCGCACGCCTTTAATCCCAGCACTCAGGAAGCAGAGGCAGGCGGATCTTTGTGAGTTTGAGGCCAGCCTGGTCTACAGAGTGAACTCCAGGAAAGGCGCAAAGCTACACAGAGAAACCCTGTCTTGAAAATAAAATAAAATAAAAACAAAAGGATTAATTTTTTTTATTTGTTTTTATTTTATGTGTACGGATGTTTTACCTGCATGTATACTATGTACTGGGTAGTATGTGCATGCAATACCTGTGGAGGTCAGAAGAGGCATCAGAGCCCCTGGATGGCTGAGAGAACTGAACTGGGGTCCTCTGCAAGAGCAGTACACCTCTTAACCACTAAACAATCTCTCCATCCCCTTTCTACTTTTATGTGGGTTCCAGGACAGCCAGAGACCAACCTTGTTTTCTTTTCTCCCCCCTCAACCCCCACCCCAACACAAGAATTCTCTGTATAGCTCTTGCTATCCTGGAACTCACTATGTAAACCAGGCTGGCCTGGAACTCAAGAGATCTACGTGTCTCTGACTCCAGAGTGCAGGGACTAAAGGTGAGCGCCACCACATCCAGCTTCCTTTCTTGAATTCACCTTTACTATGCTAATTAGTAACAATGACTGAACATACAGAATGAAAATATTTTGTGTCAACATTCTGTGGCATGTAATCAAAGCTGCCTTAGGAAGAACATTGACAGGAGCTGGTTAGATGGGCCAGCAGGTAAGGGCACCAGAGCTACATAACAGAGCGACCCTGCCTCAAAATAAAGATGGATGGATAGATAGATAGATAGATAGATAGATAGATAGATAGATAGATAGATAGATAGATAGATAGGTAGGTAGATAGGTAGATAGATAGGTAAATAGGTAGATCAATCGATCCTTTTTGGGAAACTGAGGTCAGTGATAGACGTGTGCCTAGCATGCCCAAAGCCCTAGGTTTGAATGCCAGAACAGGGGAAAGAAAATAAGCCATGTACCACAATGTGGAGGGAGTACAAACAAATCTCCTTGACTCATTCTGAGGGAAAAACCAACACTAAGGAAAGGACCTCAGGAAAACGGAAAAAAAACCCTACGATTACTCACCCTTACTTCACTGCCAATCACTCGTCAGCGCGACTGCAGCTCCAGAGGAGTGAGTCTCCTCGTGGCAACCGTTAGAGGATGGTCTCTTCGTATATACCATCGCCGAGGGATCTGCAGCACCCTCCAGTGAGGGCTACCTGAGGCCGACCATTCCAGTGTCTCTCTCGGACACTCCCAGACGATGCCACCTGGGCCTTCACCTCTGAGAGGATGACCTCTTCTCCCTCTGATAATTTTCTGATTATCCTTTTACTGGTTCCTGTTCAGGCACCCGAATATCTCGGACCGTGGGAGCGATCAGCTTAGGGTAATAAAAGGAATGCCTCCGAGTAGCGAGGGATAGGAAACTTGTTCTGTCTGAGGGTATTTAGAAATAAGTTTCTATCTATTTGACTGGTGAAATAAGAAAACACACGTGCTTTCTGATGTTAACCTTCTCTTTTACTTCATCTTAAGAATGATCTCTGACCCCTTCTGTCTCCACACAGCTACATATCTTTACATACATACATTTTTCACATGGCTACACAGCTTTCTTTGACAGACATTTCTCTTCTGCATTTCTTTCGTCTTCCTTGTCTCTACAGTTACGAATCTCCACCCGGCCTCAGCTAAACATCTCTTTCCATAGCTCTCTCCCCATACAGCACTTTACACAGTTCCTAGGCACAGTTCCTCTACGTGGCAGCAGCTTCTTCACACAGCTCTCTCACACTCACTCACACACACATTTGTAGCTAGAGTTTTCCTGCCTGGCCCACAGTCAGGACAAATCTCTCTCACCTGCCAGTCCCACAGCCGCTCAGACCTGACCAAGTAAACACAGAGACTTATATTGGTTACAAACTGTATGGCCGTGGCAGGCTTCTTGCTAACTGTTCTTACAGCTTAAATTAATCCATTTCTATAAATTTGTACCTTGCCACGTGGCTTGTGGCTTACCGGCATCTTCACATGCTGTTTGTCATCGTGGCGGCTGGCAGGGTCTCTCTGACTCAGCCTTCCACTTCCCAGCTTTATTCTCCTCCTTGTCCTGCCTATACTTCCTCCTGCCTGACTACTGGCCAATCGGTGTTTTATTTACCGACCAATCAGAGCAACACATTTGCCACACAGAACACCCCACAGCACCATTATTCACTCTTTCCTCACTCTTTCCCCCACTCACTTCCTCGCACTTCTCTCATGCTTCTTCATCTCTCACTCGGCACACACACACACACACACACACACACACACACACACACACACACACACACGCTTCACTCACATTCTGCAGCAGCTCTCACATAGCTCCACACGGCCGTCTCTCTCCACACTGCCCACACTGCCGCTGCTCTTACAGCTGAACTCGTAATTACTTACGTTACATTTTCAGGGCCCCACCCATTCTGACAACACAAGATAAGTCACCCAGTTTCTCATAGGCTAATAATGTCACATGGACCCATGCACGTAGCTCTAAGCTGGTGAGGGGTCCCAGACATTAAACAATTGGCTGAACCTTGAGCGGTCAGGGTTCGTGCAGAAAGAGAGTTACTGCAAGGAGCCAATCTCAGTGTAAACAGCCTGGCCTTGATTTACCAATAAACAACAGCTGGGAATTAGTCTTTGTGTATTTTCTGCAGGGGCAGTTTAGTCTGTTTCGGACTTGTTCTAAGGTCTTTGAGATTGAGAATACTGTTACTTTCCCGTGTCAGTAAAGAATAATAGTCTAGTATTATTTCTATACATCAGAATTATACAGCTTAAACAGAAATCATAACCTGACCATCCACAACTATAAGTATGCCCAAAGATGTAAAACACTACCAAAGGGTTGTAGAAAGCACCCCACAGCTGTTCTTATCAGGGAGGCATAGCAGTGGCACCCAAGAAAGTTACAGACAGAAAACAACTGGTTTCCACAGCCAGTGACCCCACGGCTTTGCCAGGTGGGGCTCCCCATCAGGGAGTTATACGTCTGGTGGGTCGGCTTGTCAAATACTAGTTGTCACCTGCTGTATACTCCCCCAGCCCTCGGCACTACAAACCAGATATTTGACATGAACCAGTTCCACAGATGAGGTTGGACAGCGGAAGAAAGTTTTAGCACAGACCCCCACAGGCTCACATATTTGAATGCTTTGTCTCCAGAACACAGAACTGCTTTAAGAAGGATTATCAGGGTTAGCAGGTGTGGCCTTGTTGGAGGAAGTGTGTCACTGGGGGTGGGGATTGAACTTTCAAAAGCCTGGGCCAGACCCAGACACATTCTCTCTTCTCCCTCTGCCCGTCTCCTTCCCTTGCACACACCCACACCCACACCCACACCCACCGCCGCCCAGATCAGCTCTCAGCTACTGCTACAGTACCATGCCTGTCTGTTAGACTAACACTGTAAAACAGTAAGCAAGTACCAAAATTACATGCTTTTTAAAGTTGCCTTGGTCATGGTGTCTCCTTACAGCAAAAAACAAAAACAAAAACAAAAAACCAGTAACTAACACAGATAAATAGCACTTCAAGAGCTATGGGAACTCCAGGTGCCTACTGTTTAAATGATATCTAAATTCTAATCATGGGTCTTCCCACCTGTGTGTTCAAAACTCAGCCCAGCAGCCTAGCTCATAAACTTGTTTTCGGAGGCAGGAAACTTCTGAAGGATGGCCAGTCTATGAAGTCTCAACATGTTCCACGCCTGGAACTACCTTTGGTCTCCTTCACCTCCTGCCTCTGAAAATCCTACTGAACCTGTGTTCCGGGTTCAAGTCTCCACTGACTCCTGTTAATGCCTCTTTATGAACCCAACTCCAGTACCACCTACCAGTATCCCATTAAGGCCCAACAGCCTAGAACACCAGGCTGTCAAGGCCCTAAACAATCCTCCTTGTAGGCAGAGTTTCTCTGTGTCTTGGCAGCTGCTCCCAAATAACCACATAGAAACTTAATATTAATTATAAATGCTCAGCCGATAGCTCAGGCTTATTACTAACTAGCTCTTACAATTTAAATTAACCCATTTTTCTTCATCTACACTCTGCCACGTGGCATTACCTCTCTTTCATCTTGCACCTCCTGTTTCCTCTCCTTGTCCCACTGACTCCACCCCCCTCCCCAGCATCCTCTCTGCCCCCAAAATCCTGCCTAGCCATTGGTCAATCAGCTTTTTATTAACAATGAGAGCAATACATATTTACAGCGTGCAAAGATCATTTCACAGCCCTCCTCTGCCACAATCCCCCCCCCCCCTCTGGTCCCTATGTACTTTCCATTCAACGTGGATGCTTATCTCCTCCTGCCCAGCCCTGTGCCTCTCCTCCTACCTGAACAGCTTTTCTGTCCACTGCCAGTCCTCCCAACCCATGTGCTCCAAGTGGTTACTCTCTGCACAGCTCTCGACATTGGCACCTGGGGGCGCTCAAAGGTTTCCACTCTAAGCTCCTCATGCACAGGGAACCAAACCTCGGAAAGGACATACGTTGCTAGACTTTTTTTTTTTTTTTAAGTGTTTCCTCTGTGTAGCCCTGGCTGTCCTGGAACTTGTTCTGTAGACCAGGCTGGCCTCGAATTCAGAGATCAGCCTGCCTCTGCCTCTGCAGTGCTGGGATTAAAGACGTGTGCAAACCAACACCCAGGGTGTCATTTTTATTAAAATAAAAAAAAATAGTAAGTTAGGTTAGGCCGGGAGTGGTGGTGCACGCTTTTAATTCCAGCCTCAGAGGCAGAGGCAGGAGGGTGTCTGTGAGTTTGAGGCCAGCCTGGCCTCCTACATATTGAGTTCTAGGACA